TTGGCACCTTCTCATTTATACACTGCGAAGCTAGTTTTGAAAATTACTGTAAAGCATTTTAATAATATTAATATTTTGAGATTCCGCTTCGAATTATTTCCATCATAATAATACGTATATTTGAATTTCTGAAAATGTATATTATAAATTATTCCCATTCTAACAACTGTACGTTGAAATTTCTTATCCTGTATTTTCTGCTTAATTTCAGTGATACCACCGTATTTTATTCTTAAGCTCTGACTCAAAATTTTTTAAATATCTTGGAACTAAGAATAAACAGTCCGTAACACTTTCATTTGCACTTTTCTCATTAAGTAAAAAAATCTGCAAATGAGTTAGTTTCAAAATTAATGGCCACATTAGAGATACTGAGTGATGGCACGATGATTTTGCCTTCCGACAAGACATATTAAAGAAGCCGCTTAATAGGCTTCGTCAATAAACATCCGTTTCTGTGTTAATAAAATGTACTAAGTAATGAAAAATTGTGTCCATTTTGCCCCTGAATGGAATCTCTGCGGTTAATAAATTCTGTTGTTCGGTATCTCATTAAATTGAAAATTTTTTTGCTCTCTAAATTCGGCTGTCCAGTATCTTCCCTAAATTTTTAGAATTTTGCTGTCCTTCAATTTTGCCGCTAGCCGCTTCTAAAAATTCTAAATATTTTGCTGCCCCTCAATTCTACGCAGTCGAATTCGGCTCTAACCCCAGCCCTGTATACAAATGATTCACAAAATTGCATCAGGTGTGTATACTTGATTTAATTAATATAGATTATATTTAGTGAATATTAAAATGTATTATCTGCATAAATTCAAACTCCAGTCTTTGTAAATTACTGAGAAACAGAGGCTCAAGTTCATGGCCAGGTGCAAAAACAACCATCCTTATTATATTAATTTAATATTACTTAATTATGAATGAAACATATTATGTTTACTTTCACATTTATAGATGCATAATTTTGAACATTTATTATACAAAAAAAAAGCAAATTTCCGTTTTTATTTTCAGCTATAAGTCTGAGATTTAATAAAATAATTTTATTAAAGATCTGTTTCCTTTAGAAAATTTATTTCAGATGAATATTTTATTCTGTATGTAAGTACTACAAAAGTAACTCGTAACAAAGACAAGTTTTAATATTAAATGCAATGTAAATAACAATTGATTTTATACGTAGATGTACTATTACTCTATTATTATTTCTAACGCATTAATTCTTATCTGTACTGATTAAGAATTTGAGCTAAAATAAAAATTGTTAAAATGATTAATTAAGAAATATCGCAGTTGCATATTTACCCTTCTTGCTTTTCTTATTAAAATTTATTAGTAGTGTTCGATTGTTTTCAATAAATGCATTTCTTGCAAACATTCCTTTCTACAGCTATACCATTAGTTAGCCTTTCCTATGACACTGACTACATAAGGCAATTTTGGATTAATTTTGTTGGGTGTTGAGAGTGATCGTTAGGTACTAAAATTTGGGCGTCGTGGGGAACGCTGGATGTAAGTCCATAAAGTAAAATTTACAATAAGTTTTACTTTAGACTTAACCGGAAAATGAGATAAACAGGTGTTGACTTTGTAAGGATTATGTTAATTTTATTAACAGTTAAATTTTAAGTTAAATTTCCTTTCCTGTCAAATTCTTAACTTCAACTTACTACTTCCGGCCAGAACGTAGTTTGGAATCTTGTTGAATATTTAATGAGGAGGAGCGGTATTTAAACCACGATGTTACTTTCTGAGTCAGAGAGCGAATCAGAGTTTCCGGTTTACGCGCGTCTGCCTTTTTAGCCACTCTCTCTCTCTCAAAGCTGCTATTACGCTCGGCCGTACTCAGGCTCTTGCTAAGCTTCGTAGTCAAATAAGTTAAGAGGCCAACTCGATTTGAATCTTCATAGCTTCGGCTATACTTCTTTAGTTAATCTTAGTTTTCGTTTAATTCTTAGTCTTTTAACCTTTTGAGGTCGGGGTTTTAGTAGCAGTAAAGGCTACCAAAGGACGGGAAATCTTGAACCGAATACTTTCCCCCCTTTAAGAAATCACCTTCTATTTGCAACAGAGATTCTTGTGTGTAGTTTACTGGATTCTCAGAGGGGTGCATCTATGTCGCAAAAGGAAGACCTTTGAAAGAGAAAAGGGGTTAAAACCCCAGGGACGTCAAATTTGACATTTCACCCCACTTTTCAGCCTTGAAAATGGGGGAAAAAGACATGGCCACTAAAGTGGACAACCTATATGGCCACTATAATGCCATCCCGTCTTCAAAAGGTTAAGTTCAAGTCCAAGTGCGGGTTTTGCTTGTACACTCTCAGGCGGAGTTTTGTTAAATCTTATTGAAATAATAAAGGGTTAGTTACCCTTCTATCTTCTTGTTTCTTGCCACCGAACTCAAGCGATTATTCGCTTATCAGTTCTTAGATTCTTCACTTCCAACATTAACTTAGAATTCCAAAGTGAGGAACTTTACAACTTGATCACGATAACTGCTGCGTCGTGTCTGTCGGGTCCACTTGGCATTACATGATGTCGCCGGGCATTTGTCTACGAGTCGATGCGTTTCTACGCAGTAGATACTGGCGCGGACTTTGAATCTCACACTTTAATGGACTCTTAGTGCTTTTCATTTCTTCGACATCCATGTCAGTATTTTGTGCTTTGAAGCACCGCTCCATGATGACAAGAGCTATAGCTACAACCACAGCCATGATGATAGCCAGGACGATGAGCAGAGTTAGCTACTACTAGGAATTAAATATATTTGCTCTGCTCTTCAGTTTCAGCAAGCTACAGATCCAAAGAGGGAATGCAAATTCCCTGTAGAGGCATTAGGATTTTTTGAAGCTGAGAGACGAGAAAAAGGAGCTATGCCCTCGCCGGGATTTGAACCTCGGACCTCTCGAATACGCGCCGGTAGTGCTGACCATTACACCACGAATGCATGCTAGGCGGGAGAAATACCTTATATACTCCCCTTTTAAAGGGCGACTGGGGATTAGGGGACCCAATCACCAAATCCTGGTGGTAGAGAATCATCACCCACCACTTGTTTTTAGATCGCGCGCCAATGTAGTGATATTAGGATTTTTTGAAGCTGCAGACATGAAAAATGAGCAATGCCCTCACCGGGACTCGAATCTCGGACCTCTCGAATAGCCGCTGAGTGCCTTGACCACTACACCACGAAGGCATGCTCAGAAGGCGGGGGGGGGAATACCTTATATCTATACCAAATCTTAATTTAAAAAACTCTTTTTATTTGATGCTCCAGTTGAAAAAAAAAACTTAATAAAGTTCTTAGTGCTATAGAAAGATTAGGAACTCAAGATATTAATTCATTACTTATGATGTAAGTAATTCAGAATTTTTGTCGTAGTGCGAAATATTTTCCTAAACTTAATATTTCAAGTCTTGTATAGCTTTTTCCACGGCATCGTCTACATTTATTTGTTATAAATTCCCAGAGCTAAGACATTCTTTTGCATGTCTCGGAATTCGTTTATGAATTGATTGCACAAATTAAATATATATTGTTATATTTAATTCGTTGTATAATGAAGTTTTTACCCTTTGTGTGATAGAAGCATATTAATTTTAAAATTTTGTTTAGCATTTTGTACGGACTCAAAACGTGATTCATACGCTAGTTTGTAAAATTCAGATTTTTCAGTTAAGTTGAGCAAGCTTTTGATTTCACTAACATGTTCGTTACAAGTAACATTTTTTTTATATCATTTATTTTTTTTTAAAGTTATCCTCCGATTTTTTAGATTCAATAACATTAAAAATGCGATTTTGTAACATAATGTTGTTTCAGATAAAGAATTTGCCATTTTGTTATGTCCAAGTCTCATCTTCGATGATCATTTCGAATAATTAAACAGATTTAAAGTTGTTTCAGATTTTGCATTAGAGGTCTTAAGCGTTATTGAGACTTGAATTCAATGTGTTACTTAAGGTTTTAGAGTTAAAAATTTAATATCCTTAGTTAACCTGTTATATTTATGAGAAGAAAAACAAAAACAATAAAAACAATGAACAAATTTTGATGGATATCGAAACATTCAACTGTTTTTTCACGAAAGCTGAAAATCGTTTATACTTCCATACGAGTGATATTACAAAAACTGCATATAAAAATAAATTAGATTCAATTCTTTTAACGTAAATCATTAGTACTAATAGACAAGGTTTTGATTATTAATAGGCCCACCAGCGGCCGAGCGGTAAAGTCGCTGAACACTGGTAGTTCGATCTGAGGCTCGAATCCCGCGAACGGGCTGGCTGCATGGGCGTTTTCGTGTTTTTTCCCATGTTTAACGTGTATACGAGCCAGTTCCCCTTAGAAAGTCCTCCACGAAGGCATCCATTCCCTTAGGCAAATAGCCCTCGAGGCTTTGCCATAATCACACACACAAAAATTGTTTATTAATAGTCTTTATTTATTATTTTCATTCTTTAAAATATTGCATACGATAAATGCGCTGCTAGGTTTGGCCACGTGAGAAACTATATATGTTTGAAACAGCTTTGCTAAGAGAACCTATGTACATATCCGATGTAATTTTCACAAATGGAAAACAACAATAATATTTCCGCTGTTTTATTTGACTTCCATTTATAGGAACTGACTGAAATGAAACTTTTTTAATTATTAAATTCTTTCAGAATAATTTTTGTACAATATTCAATACCATTTCACTTAATATGCTAATTAAATAATAGACGAAGTTAATTTCATTATTTTTATGTAATTTTGTAAAAAAAAGAGAGAGCTAGAAGTGTATAAATTGCAAGCAAAAGCAAATGAACGGATTCTGAAATGCATTTCAAAAAGTAAAAAAATTAATAACAAAACTTATCTGTTAGATGAATAAATAATATATGCTATCAGTTTTAAACATTATTATTATTATTTTACTTTTAAGTTAATATTTTGACGTTTCTTTAAGCCTGTTAAAATCAAGAGTATTATTTTTTATTTTCAGATGAAAACGAATTGCATCAAGATTGTTGTTGCTCTGTATCCTTTTCAAGCCATAGAAGAAGGCGATCTCACGCTGGAAAAGGTAGAAAATGAAAAGCGGATTTATAACCTCATTTCTTATTTCTTTTCCTATTCATCGTAATTCTGAATTACTTTCTTCAAATATTATCTATTTAACCTTAGTCACACGTGCAAAAATTAATCTAATTGATTGCTAAACAGGGAAGAAAAATAAAAGCTTAACGCATAATCCAAGAACAAAAATCCACCTAAAAAGATATACTATACTTTCATGAGAAAATGTTCATGAAATAAATACTTACACTTTCTATATTTAAAATTTAAATTCTTTCAGTGCTTGGATTACAGCTTCAGAGGTTATGAGAGGTTCAAATCAATTAAATTTGTGCATGCTTTGAGTTTAAAAAGAAATCACAGTCTAAATCCTTCTACTGCTTAAATATTGCTGTTTCTTCATCCTATTATGTTCTCCTTTATTCGCTGTGTCACGTTCGTTAATTTACACTAACATGGAATTAATAAAAATTATTCATTACTTAAGGAACTTATCAATTTAAAAGCAATAAACGTAACTATTTTTACAACATTATTTTATTTTTCAAATAATTTCTGTAATTAATATAATTCATAATTTATTTAATGAATATTACGTTTAACTGATCGTTTTATTAACATTACTGTAATTGACAAAAGGTCTTCTGTATTAAAATAAACATTTGTGCGTCTCCTTAACAATGAAAATCTTTTGCAACTATACGGTTAAACATTCTTTGTGCCTCTTGTCAATATTATTACCGATAGAATTTGTCTCTTACATTTTTCACTGAACATTACATTTCGAGAGTCTTCTGTGCATTGCCATTGCATTAAATAAATCAAGTTCTAATTATGCAAAGGAAGAAACTTGAAGTTCAGAATATAATTTAAACAACTGAGATCTGCAAATGTATTCATAGTTTACAGCGCACAAAACCGAGCAAAATTTAAAGTAAGGAAAGCAATATTATCACTATTAACATAGATTAACTTTTAGTAATGCAATACAAGAATGTATCTTCCTCCAAAAAAACATTATTAGAGATTAATACCGGGAATTATTTTTTTCTTAAATTAAGCATGATAATCATCCATTTTGAACTGGTGTTATGAACGAGCATTTGTTTGCTCAAGCCGATAAGCATGCAGGCATACATAAACATAAAGAATTATTTCATTCATTTTAGATGCGGCAGGAGAGGTGCTTCTAACGCTATTTTTAATATTAGAGTAAGTCATTCAGTTTTGATATGTATTTCCATGAAGTGAGTTAAAGACCTGATTTACCCCTAATATAATGTACTGTTGACTTTAAGGGGAGAGGGAGTATTTCAGTAAGATAAAAGAATGCATGCGCAGCTCATTCGGTCTAGTACTAAGCGCAGCCGGATCTCAGAGCCAGAGTGTGAATCTTGGAGAAGGCATGGATACTTGCATATGTAATACTGCATGACTGGCATGTTTCTCCCTCTCGCGAGCTTTGTTCCTAGTTTTTATTAGTATAGGATTTAGAAATCTGATTTATGGTAACAGTGTAACATGTATGCACAATTATGAAAATATTTTTTGTAAGTAAAAAAGAAAATTATTAAAATTCATAAATTCTTTGAAATACATAATGTAACAATATTCATGTATCTTTTTAATAAGCTATGTTTATGATTTAAATTCTCTTAAGAAACAGTATTTTCCTCCTGGTTTTCAAGCCCGGTTTGGCCCACCAGCGACCGAGCGGTAAAGTCGTTGAATACTGGTAGTTCGGTTCGAGGTTCTAATACCGCGAACAGGCTGGCTCCATGGGCGTTTTCTTCGTTTTCCCCATGTGTAACGTGCATCCGAGCCATTTTCCCTTGGAAAGTCCTCCACAAAGGCATTCCTTTGGAGGACTTTCCATTCCTTAGGCAAATGACACTAGGACCAGTAATTCAATAAATCAAATCAATCATTCAAGCAAGGTTTTTCTCGGTTTTAAGGTTCCCCCTTGCTTAAGTCTCCCTCCCGGTTTTCAAGTAGTCATATTAGTAAGAAAAAAGGGAAAACACGTAAGTAAATACAGTATTCGTCACACTTTGTTGTGCCCCCTTGGGTCGCGTTTTTAGTGAAGAGGCGGCTAAATGACCCCGGATTTTTCATGGCAATTGCCGATGAATGCTTAATGATGAAACATATGATCAATAGATAACAATAAAAAAAGATACGTATATGTACTTTTGCCTTAAGTTACGCTTAAAACTCTTGAAAAGTTACATCAAGTTGTTTCTGAGGTACTTTTCCCTAGATCTTTATTTATACTATTTAATTTGTGATTATAAAATGTTATTTTTCAAAAAGCATTAACGTAAATTAAATTTGAGAAATGCTTTGGCCAAGACTTTGAAATATTCAATTAGTTGCTGCTTTCCCTGAGGATGCGATTTCAACGGAAAAATTCACATATCGTTATTACTGGTATATCGTTATTATTATATTATCGTTATTATTATTATTCACATATCGTTAATATTTTATTTACAGTTCCTAAATTCCTTGGGAATTAATAAACTTTAAGCTTTACTTGGTGTTAATTATGAAGAAGAAAGACTTAATATGTTTTCAGAGACCATGTCGTCTCAAAATACTTTGAACATCTTCACTTGGTTTTACTGCCGATCAAAAGATGAATTCGTAAACACATTAGGTATTTTTTTGGAAGCAGGAGTCATGGAAAATGAGCAACGCCTTCGTCGGGAATCGAACCACGGACCTCTGGAATACGCGCCCAGCGTGCAGACCACCCACACCACGAAGGCATGCCAAAAAGGCGGGAGAAATACCTTATATACTCCCCCTTTTAAAGGGCGACTGGAATTATTAGACTGGAATTTTTAGAGGACACAATCGCCAAATCCTGGGTGTGGAGAATCATCATTCACCACCCTTTCTAGTTCGGGCGCCACTGTAGAGACATTAGGTTATTTCGAGGCCGGAGAGATGAAAATTGGCAACGCCTTCGCTGGGAATCGAAACACGGACCTCTGGAATACCCGCTTAGCGTGCAGACCAGCACACCACGAAGGCATGCTAGGAAGGTGGGAGAAATACCTTATAAATTTAGTGAGTTATTAAAGCTGGAGTTAGTGCACAATATTTAACTATAATCTTCAGTTTAATAATGGAAAATAAATATTTTCCCATTATTTTATAGTTTTACACCAGTTAAAAATATAACTTAAATAAGTAATAATTATAATGAGAAGCAACTAGAAAAAAACAACCTAAAGGCAGATGCTTGTTAAAATTATATGTGTCTCCTTGAAGAGACATTAGGTTAATTGGGAAAGCCGGAGAGATGAAAAATTAGCAATCGCCTTCGCCGGGAGTCGAACCACGGACCTCTGGAATACCGGCCCAGCGTGCAGAACCACTACAACACGAAGGCACGTTGGAAGGCGGGAGAAATACCTTATATACTCCCCCTTTTAAAGGGCGACTGGGGTTTTTAGGCGACCCAGTCGCCAAATCCTGGGTGGGGAGAATCCTCATCCAACACCCTTTTAGTTCGGGCTCCACTGTAGAGACATTAGGTTTTTTTTTTTTTTTTTTTTTTGGGAAGCAGGAAAGATGAAAAATGAGCAAGCGCCTTCGCTGGGAATCGAACTACGGACCTCTGGAATACCGGCCCAAAGTGCAGAACCACTACACCACGAAGGCACGCTAGGAAGGCGGGAGAAATACCTTATATCCTGATTCATTTACAATGAAAGAATGTAACGCAGTTAGAATTGTCTGAAACCAGATCACGACGAAGTCTTAACGCCGCTAATTTACGTTGTTTTAATATTTAAATTCGATGTTCTAAGTTAGTTTTTGGTTAAGTGATTACGGCAGAGCCTTGAAGGCTATCTGCCTAAGGACAGGGTTTGCCTTCGTGGAGGTCTTCTAAGGCAAACTGGTTAGTAAACACGTTACACATGGGGGAAAACCACGAAAACCGCCAATGCAGCCAGCCTGTTCACTGAATTCGAATCTCGGACCGAACTACCAGTGTTCAACGACCTTACCGCTCGGCCGCTAGTGGGCCCTAAGTTAGTTTTTAATTATGAACTATGTCCTTCCTAATTATTTATGAAATTTTCAAAACGTCATTTCATAATATTTCCTCGCCCACCAGTGGCCGAGCGGTAAAGTCGCTGAACACTGGTAGTTCGGTCCGAGGTTCGAATCACGCGAACGGGCTGGCTGCATGGGCGTTTTCGTGGTTTTCCCCATGTGTAACGTGTATACGAGCCAGTTTCCCTTAGAAAGTCCTCCACGAAGGCATCCCTCCTCTTAGGCAGATAGCCCTCGAGGCTTTGCCATAATTACACACACACACATAATATATCCTCGGCGTATAATAAAAACTGTAATAAATGTCAAATAGTGAATCTTTATATCAGTTATAACGCTGGATATTTACACCTTCATTTTATGATTTTTAATACTAAGGAAATACTTGTTCTGGTATCATTTTTGACATGCAGTTAGGTTCATTTAGTCAGACGTTAACTGCACGTCAAAAATTATAATGAGGGAGATTAGCCAGGTTGCAGGTGAATAGGGCGTTTTCTAAAAGCATTTAAGTTTATTTATTGTTGAACGATGAACAAATTACTAGAGGACGGTCAGAATAAAGAATACTTTTTTATTTCAAATACAGAGAGGTATAGAATAGTAGCAGTGATAGCAGATGATGTTACAGTATTTAGGAATTGTTTTTATCTACAATAGTATGTACTATATATAACCTGGAATATGTAAACACCGCTAAATATTCTGTTAGAAATGTACTATTGGACCTGTAAAAATAAATTTAGTGTAGTTCCATTAATTTTATGTTTCTCATTGATTCCTGTAAAAATGCGACAGTAATATGAATAAAAGCACCGTTATTTCTGTTTTGAAGTGTGGTTAATCTCGTTTTGAATGCTGACTTAACGTATCTAACCAAACGAATTCATTCTCCAAACTGAAGTGCTTAAAAATACACTCAAATTGTTACTTGCATTTTCCTGTTAATTATAGTATGAGTTATTCCTCTTTCCTGTAATTTTTAACTGCTGTCGTATTAACCATTATTTAATTCGTGGAGCATCCCCATTATTACCGCCACCGTACCAGTAATCGTTTAACCGTCTCCTTTTACCCCGGTTAATCGGGGGTTTACTGCATTTTTTGGCTCGAAACTGAAAATCCGATAAAAAAATTAAAAACATTTTGCGGAAACAAAATACAAAAGCAAGCAATATTCAGTATTTTTAGGCAATTATTCAGGATATTCACTGCTGTCCTTTTTCCAAGAAAAATATAGTAATATTTTCCTGAACGATGATAAGAATGGAAGCTAAATTAAAAAAAAAAAAATGATGAACAAAATCTTGACCTGTCTGTACTTATAAAAGAAAAAAATGACAAAATAAGCAATCAACTGTCTCATATGTAAATCAACACATTAGACGTCAGGAGACATTTTTCCTCCGCAATTTGTGCGCCTATTTTTGAGGAACTTTTTGAGGAATCTTGGTATTTTTGAACTTTTGCAATTAAATTATTCCTGAAACTGTGGCGTTCCTAGTAAATTTTCCTAGACATCCTTAACCCTTGGAGATACTAAATGATTTTCCTGGTCAATATTTCTTTAAAAAAATTAGTTTCCTATTTTTATTACCCAGAATCATATAACTGCACAGAGTGGAATGGTCAGTGATAGAGATCTGATGTTTTCTTGTACGATGATTACGAGGAACTGTATTTTGGTTCTAATTCCGAGTCTTTTAATGTACGGTCCAGTGATGTTGACTCGACCGTGACAAATTGTTGTCCCAGAATAAAAGAAGGATTTTAAGATAAGAAAAGCCTATAAAAGGGGGTAAAGGACATGAAAACAAGCTGTTATGTTTACGATTATAAACTCAAAAATTGCTTCAATAAATACTTTGACAGGTAGTAACATATTATAAAAATACTTCCCTATGTAAGAAGATAAAAACTAAAGAAAACTGGAAAAAAAATGGTGCGGCAATATTGTTAACTCCAGAAAAATTATTGTACATCATAAGAAAGTAGTGGTAAAAATCCAATTTTGTAAGAGGAAACTCAAAAATCGAAAATTACACAAAAAATCCCATTTTCAAGCTGACTATATAATAGAAAAATTTTTTAATTTTTTACATAGTTGTTATCTTTCAACATTAGGCTCTTCATTATAATGTAATTAGCTCAAAATTATTCATTTAAAATTAATTTTTTATTTTATTCAATTTATTTTTAATGAGTGTATGATTAGTGAATATTCTTATTGCTTGCCTTTGTGGTGTAATTGGTAGCGCGTCCAGCTGGCAATTGTAAGGTCTGAAGTTCGAATCCCGGTATCACTGATACTTGACGTTTTGCGGTTTCAAAAAAAATCTGAAACCATCATATTTGTATTGCTAACTGTACAGTAGGGAGAGATAAGTTTAAATGCAAACTTGGCATAACGTATTGTCATTTTGAGATTCGTGTACTATTTTATGAATATATGCATGCTAACTATAGTACAATAAGTCTTATTATTTTATATACCGGCTGTCTTTATTTAACTTACATACTTCTAAACGCAATTAACTGATTCCTTAATACTAAGTTCTGAATAAACATTCTTAATTATGTTTTTATGCTTTTATTTAAATTAGAATTGCATGTAAACATTAATAAAAATAAAAGGAAAATATTAATTTTCATACCTGTTTTTAAATGTCTCATTATAATAAAATTGCCCAATAAAGTTTCTGTTTTTCACATAAATTAATCCTTTGATCATGTTTGATCACATCATCATGTCATCCTTTGATCACAAAAAAGGCATTTATTTTATTATAAAAATCTGTTGAAATAGTTCACTCGGGAATAGCATGAAAGTGGTGGATTGAGATGAATTAACTTTTTTTATATTTTTTCAGGTTTCGCTCGGTAAATTGAGTTTTTCTTTTCTATTGAAGCTTTCTTTGCATAGCTTTCTTTCCTTATTTTTAATCTTATTCAGAAGATACTGTATATTTCATGTACAAATATCTGCAATATGCATTTCACAAAGCCTCTTACAATGTATGAAAACGAAATTACCTTAACATAAAAAATTATTTGCTCTTGTATATAATATTCATCTCTTTTGTTTTCCTCCTCATTGACGTGTGTCTTCGTGGTGTAATTGCGCGTCAGGCTGGCAGTCGGAATGTCCGGAGTTCGAACCCCGCACAGGCCTCATTGATTCTTCCTGCTTCCCGCTTTTGGAGAATTTAAATGACTCTACAGTGTATCTTCGCAGGAGGGGGAAGACTTCGTGTTCTCTTCTGTGTTTTAAAGAGTAGAACAGAAAAGTATTTTAATGCTTTTTCATTCTTTCTTTTATCGCAGCCTTTCACCAAAATTTAGCTACGGTGAATACTTATTCAGCAGGTTTATACAGGCAAATTACACGACCAGTGATTTACTCAAAATAACTATTTTTTGTCATGTCATACATAGCCTACACTATTTTTTTTGCACAAGATAACAATTATTTTGCGTACTTGTTTGACTTAAAGTTAATTATATTATAGTATTATTTGATTTTATTCCACTAGATAATGATTATTTTCAGTAAATGAAGATATATTAAATCGGCCTTGTATAGCAATTAAATGTTGTTTCACATTATAAAACTTTTGCTGCATTTTTCAAACTTTCTTAAAAGTCCTTATGATTATCCCTTCGCAAAGAATATACAAGTGAATATCTTTAAAGCATTCCGTTTTCTCTTTGATAACTGAAGTGAAATGTTAGTGGTGTTCAAATGAAAAGGTACGAAACGACACTATAGATATACTGAACTCTTTATTCACAAGTAATTACCAAAGACCTAAGCACAACTATCTCGCTATTTTACGAGTCGAAGGATTCCCTCTTCCCAGAATTCTTGTAGCTGTGATAGGAGCCAATTTGCCACTATGTTTTTTAGCTCGTCGTCCGAGTTGAAACTCTTCTCTTTGAAATGTCACTTCTCACCAAGTCGTTCACCTTGTCGATGAGTTCGGCCGTGATTGCCGTTTTTACTTGGCCTGGTCTCGGGTTATCACTCAAAAACTCCAAGTCTTTACGCAAACTGGCACTCCACTTTCTTACTGACTTGTCGGACACTCAGTCTCCTCCATAACGGCAACCATCCGGCGATGAATACCAGCCGGTTTAACCCCCTCTACAGTCAGAAATCCGATAACATCTGGCTGCTCCTCAATCGTCGATTTTTGCAATGTTGAACGTCAAGATGTCATCACACGCACTTTCGCATCAATTGGACGGAATAGCGGAGGATAAAAACTCCGTGGTATTTTTTTAAAATACTCCATCAGTATATTAAACGGAGTATAAATACTCCGTCAGTATATTAACTTTATACGTGGACGGAACACACAACTGCCTACTTCACTCCGGCGTCACGCGCGGGCGCTTGCGCATGCGCACAACCACGTCGGACCCTACATTCGCGTCCTTAGATGTTTCTCTACGTTATGTCAAAACGGCATATTCAAACGTCATCTAGTTTGGTTGTTATGAAGTTTCGTACCTTTTCATTTGAACACCCCTTATATAAGAGCTTGAAAGTGTTAGAAGTCTTCATCAAACCGCAAGGACATTAGCGTCATATACGAAAATTAGTTCCCTATTTATTCTGGGTTTAAATAATGCTTTGATGTATGTGCCCCTCTTGAAATTAATACTGTTTGTTCTCCTTTCTAGGTATTTTGCAGAAGCAAAAGTTTATAATGTTTGATTAGATTCCTTTGAAGGAAAATTAGTATGTAACTGATTTTATAAAAGAAACGAATAATTTACAAGGATACTTAACTTTTCTAGCTCGTAAGCAGTCAGAAGTGTATAAGCAATAACTAAATCGTTTGACTGCTTGCCAGTTACTAACTAGGTCAAAACATATAGATATTTCTATGGAAGGGAACAAACGAATAAGGAAGTTAACGAAATTTGATTATTTTTATGGTCCCCATGTTAGTTTATTTTCAAATGATAGTGTGATTGCTAATTTATCTAATATCCAAAATACTTCCTTGTTTGAAGAACAAGAGGAAATAGTCCGTAGTTAATTCTTGTCAAAAGTACCAGCCTATTTAACTTCCTTATGCTACTAATTTGTGAAACATAACAATCCACGGTGATTATTTTACATGCGAAGAACGCTAAATTTTATTTTATTATTCACAGGGAGAAGAATACGAAGTAGTTGACGATTCTCGAGAACACTGGTGGCAAGTCAAAAACAAATACGGGTAAGTGCATTGGCAACATGAATATTTCTGCTGTAACTTGCCTAATACAACAGAACTTCAATAATTTGAAATCTAAAGTCAAAGTGAATACCGAAATGCAGAATTTGAACCCCCCTGCCCAATTAAGTCGAATGTTCGATTGCTCGAAGTTTTCTTCTGCTTCCTTCAATCTTTAAACTGGCATTAAATTTTACAGAAACGGTTGGAATTGTATTTCGCTGAACGCTGAAATGAAAAACCTTTTTTTCCCTTAAATTTGTATTTCATAGCGGAGGGAATTTAAAATTTAATTTCATTCACGAAAAAAACCAGTTTAAATGTTCTGTTGCTATGTTAAAATGCATATATCTGATAAAATGAACATTTTTATCCTTCTAGGGAGACTGGCTATATACCGAGCAACTATGTCGAAGAGAAAACATCTGGCGGCCTTCGGCATCACAAGTTAGTCCTTTCATTATATTCGGATTTTTTTTTAATTTTATTTTGTACAAAAAAATTAATGGAGTTATTCTACGTAGTGGGCCATTTCCAAATCATTAATGTTTCAAAAAATTGTGGTTCAATGAATTACAATATATCGTATCGCAATATGTAACATTTTTTCGAAAACGCTTTATAGAGGCACTGGATTTTTTTTCAGAGCACGAAACACGAAAAATCGACTAATCCAATAACCAATTACGCTACAGGAATTAGGCACCGAAGAAATCGATAATTCCTTATGTTCTCCTCCTCCTTAGCGAGACTGGGAAGAAACACAAGAACTAGTTGACTATACCGAGCTAGTGACGGATTATCATCTACTACCTTTACTTCATCACTACATAAATGTCAAGTTCTTCGGAGCAGGAGATATAAAAAATAAGCTACGCTTCCGTTGGGACTCTAATGACGGATGCTCTCAAGCTGGACCAGTCATACCACAACAACAAGCACGTGTAAAATAAAATATTTCCTTGCAGCTTTTATATATAAATTTTATAGTTACGATCGCATCCACTAGACCGTGAAATCCTGAATATATGGGTCTTCTTTTAAATTGCAGATGTTCACAAATCAGCAGTAGGCGAACTTGTTAGGAAACAGCATTTTTCCTAATTAGGATGAAAAGGAAATATTGGATTTTTTTTGACAAAAGGAATGCAGGATGACGCATATCTTCATGTTGCTTCTTCTGCAAATACTTCTTACTCTCAACCTTTAGAGTGAATCAAGTACTTTTAAGCTACCATAGAAACCACTAGACCAGAAAACCAATAATTTTTTATTATAATGCTATTTGAAGTCACAAGTATACAGAATCTCTCAGCGTCATTTTTAAAAGTCGTTATCATACGACATGTATCAAGTACCTATACAGATACTGTCTCTGCTATTTATATACTATCTTAGCTCATTTTTAAGCAGCGCTGCAATAGAGATGGGGAGGGTATTTAACATGTATTATACGAAAATTTTTGTTTATTAATATTAAATGGAGTCTGGTGGTCGTAACTGGTATCTAAACTTATACGTAATAAAAATTTTTTAACCCCCAGCAGTTTTAAATATTCATGAACTAATTTCTTTTCTATGTACCAAGGGTTGCCAAACTTAATATTAGTAGAAACCATATATTAGTAGAACTTAATATGTTATTAGTAGAACTTAATATGTTAGAACTTAATATGTTATTAGTAGAACTTAATATGTTAGAACTTAATATTAGTAGAACTTAATATGCTAGAATTTAAGAATATTTAAAAGCGGCTATAAGATTTCCCACGAAAAGCGGAAACTAGTTATTTTTATGTTTTAAGAGTAAGAAAAGAGTTTTTAGTGTACAAAGGAACTTTTGAAATAAGGTTACATAGATTTTGCAAATTTTTTAATCAATATAATGTCATATATTGATTTATTGTCTTATATAATTCATGTATTCTTTTAATCAATATAATGTCTTATAGAAATAATTATTTTTGCTTTTGCTTCCCTTCAGGAAAATATTTTGAATTTTAAGATCCGCACACTGTAAATTTTTGTACGATATACTGAAACTCCTTTTTTTCGGAAAGTAAACTGAAAATTTTCTTCTGATTTCTAATTTTAACTAAAAATTTCAGAATTAAATTTCAGTTTAGATTGAGGAAAGAAAATAGGCAATAAGGAACACCAAAAAATATGGTGAATTGGTGTTAATTACCTGCGAAAAAAAAGTATTTTGTTGCCGTGTTTTGGTTTTGTTTATTGGTTATTTTCTTTTACTTAATTTCGTAAATTTAAGTTAAATTTTCTGTTTTTAATCCGTTACGATTTCTACATTTACAAAACTTTTGCAATTTGTCTTTTCTGTGATTTTGGTTTCTCCTGTTGTTTTATTCTTAGTAAGTTAAACATTCTACCACTTCAGTTTTCCAAGTTACTAGTTTTAAAAATTTTAAATTAAAAAATTTTCTTCCTCTTGTTTATTAATGTTGACTTTTAATCCAATTTATATATTACGCATCTATTTTCTGTCGAGTCACTTCGGAACATGTTATACCTTAATGGCTGATATCAGATAGCAAATTTTATCGTTACTGAATTAAAAAAAAATAATTTCTTAAAATACTTAAAATTCAATACAAATATAGTCTCATCTAAATATTTTAAATTTAAGGAATTTCTTCGATTAATTTTTGCATTTTCAGCAGATATAACTCAGAAATGTGGGTCTATTAATATTTTTTTCTGCTGCTCCTTCATTAAGACCAAAAAATTATCAACCATTATTTAATATTAAATTAATTTTGTTTTATTTTTATATTCATTTACTTTTATTTCAGTTTTGCTTTCCAAGGTACTGATTAAATTATTTTTAGCTTGTGCCTTCCTGTTAGAAAATTTGCCATGTTCGTTTTGTCTCTTTGTTTGATTTATGCGTGCTTACATGGGCAAACATTTATATATACATATGTGTATGCGTGTATTATAATCCGGTGTAAAATAATTTTCATCAGCAGTTCGTAATGTTTAAACATTACACACATGAAGATAATACTTATTGTATTTTAATTATTTAAAGTAGTTAAATTTTAATGTTCTGGAATATTTTTTGAAATTACAAATCAGAATAGCGTTGCAAAAATTTAAGAAAATTCTTACACAGTTAGAGTTAAAATATTTCCTTACACAATAAAAATATTTCCTTAGTGGAGCTAATTAATTAAAGAAACGTTGAGATTCATCGCATTCGTTTCTAATATTCATTGTGAAATAAATACATTATAACGTTATTTAAAGTATTTTGAAACTTAGGAAATTCTCGGCTGCATCTATATTGCACATGAGGTGAGATGTATTTCATTCTTATTCAGCAAGGAAATATCAGTTATCTCTCCTTCCATAGATATATAGGTGGCCTTCAGTTTACGCCTATTTAGAAACCAAGATGACTAGTTGAACTTCCTGTACCGCCATTAGAGGCTTAACAGGGCTTAGTGGAGCTACTTAATTAAAGAAACATTGAGATCTAAAACAAGGCCTAAATCAGGCCCATTAAGCAGTAGAACTACCACCTTACTACCTGAAATAACTTAAAATAGAATAAACAACTAAAATATGAACTTAAAAGTCTGTACGGATCCTAAGTTTTACTAACGTTTATTTTATTTTAAAACTGTACTATCACTTCTTATTTTCTACTTCCGGCCAGAATTCAATGCTTTAACTTGTTTATGCAAATTGTCTTCCTAACGCCCAAATACTTAAGTTGTGGCTTTTTGCCAAGCGGGAGAGAGAAGGAGTTTTAGAAAGCAAACCGCTTGCCACTGCAGTTTTACGAGTTTTCACTCGGTTGCTGGTTGCCTTTAAGGCCAGAGGTTTAGCCCTCTTGATATTTGTGGTGTGGTGGTGTATTTAGTGTATTTAATTATGGCAAAGCACACTAGGGCTATCTGCCTTCGTGGAGGGATGCCTTCGTGGAGGACTTTCTAAGGGAAACTGGCTCGTATACACGTTACACATGGGGAAAACCACGAAAACGCCCATGCATCCAGCCCGTTCGCGTGATTCGAACCTCGGACCGAACTACCAGTGTTCAGCGACTTTACCGCTCGGCCGCTGGTGGGCTCTTGATATTTGAAAACGTATTGTAGTTTCAGCAGCTCGGCGTACTACATACGTACCCTTTTTAAATAAAGGCCAGTCTTAGTGCTAGGCATTTGTATACTAATTCAAAGTTAGCTTTTAGTTAGTAGTTGTATTTTCTTACGTTCAGACCACAAGTGGTTGGTCTCTGTATTCCGAAGTTCGGAAGTGCCTGTAAAGTATTGAAAATGAAGGGTTCGTATACCCTTCCTGCTTGTGTCGTCTGTTATACACAAATCTTGAACATAGCTTGAGTAAGCTCCCTGTTCTTATTCAGGGCATTCCATGTTTCCAAAGCAAATCAAGAGAAACACAAGTCCTGATAAGTCTAGGAGCTGGTGAGATTTACCGGCTGCACCAACAAAAGCCCATTATTGCATACTTTGTAAAATATAACACATGTTACTTGCATGCATAAAAGTATGTTACTTACATATGCAATGAAATAAAATAACAGAATGTCATACACATTCTAGTTTTCCTTTAAACAGACAGGGAAATTTTAAACACAATCAATGTATAAATTCATTTCATTTACAGATACATATTTTATGAAATCTGACAATTTCAATTTAGTCACTGTATTTTTACTTAGATCCTTTAGAGTATTAAATTTAGCAGTATCTGGAATAAATCTTAGAACAATATTTTTCATAGAGAGCATCTAAATAACAGGTGCTCAATATCGACATTACTCATGCCACATGGACAGGCACAATTTTTAATCGAAGACCTATTATAATAAAAGGGAAAGTGACCATGATTAGTTAAAGCTTGGTTTAGATACTTGTCACTTAGGCATCTTTTCTCACTTACAATTGAGATTAAATTATAAGTGAATCTACCTTTAGAGTCTGGGTCGTTCCACTTTGCTTGCCATAGAGTCAAACTTTTTCTTTTCAACAAGGATTTCAAACTGTCAAAGGAAGTCTTTACTTCAAAATCAATAATTTGATTTTCAGTGGCAGCCTTTTCCAATCTATCTGCTAACTCGTTACCAATCGTACCAATATGACTCTTCGTCCAAAAGAGTTTAATATCTCTGAAAGCGCTAAGAAAAATGAGCATTTCTTTTATCTGTTTAATTAAATCGTTACTTGTACAAACACCCGCAATTGAAACAATTGCACTTTCGCAGTCACTATAGATTTCTACAGGATCTATCGCAGAATTAGAAATAAGCCAATACAAGGCCTCTAGCAGGGCTACTAACTCTGCCTGATAGGCAAAGGCATTGTCAGAAAGTCTATATTGCCTTTGTAAGCTTAGTTTCTCATCTGAGAACACACAAAAGGCTGCCCCCACATGACCATTTAATTTAGATCCATCTGTAA